TATTTTCTAAACCTCCTCAATATGATTTCCTCAAAGTTTTTGGGTGTGCATGTTTCCCATATCTTCGACCATATAATACAAATAAACTTCAATTTAGATCCAAACGTTGTGTTTTTCTTGGTTACTCCTTAAATCAACAAGGATATAGATGTCTTGACATGTCAACAGGAAAAATATTTTTGTCTTGTCATGTTGTCTAACAAATTTGCAATCATATTCGGGGCTTCAAACAGCCCCTAACTACTAAAAATTTGGTTACACAATCCTTAAGTTCAAACAAAAGATAGACATGAGTTTGAGAAGATAAAACTGAGAGAAATCAACCAAGGCTCTCTCCCCCCTTTCCTTCCTTCCCCAACACTACTTTTAAACCAATTCTTGCTGCATCATTTTCTTCTCCTTAACTCACCCACTAATAGCCATTTAGTGATGATAATAAGTGAGAGGAAATGGTGAAACAATTGTAACTCATTGGGTAGCCTTTATGCCAATAACTCCCTCTTAATCCTCATCTTTAATTCCATTTCCTCTGATATTTGAATAGGTGTCAGCTGGTTTGTTCTTGATTGCATCAGTTTTGGCTGCTAGTTTTATTGGATTTATTGCTTTCAATGCTTTCTTGTCAGTTACAAACTGCTCAGCCTCTTGGGAACCTTTCAGTGTTAAAACGGCCATAACTTCTTCTAGAAAAATGATATTAACAATCTGCAAAATGTTCCAGAAAACAGACATCCGTAGCTTTCCAAGCATATAAGGTTCATTCTCTAATTCATTCTGAGCTGTCCGCAAATTGCTTCCAAAGTCAGCTGACCTGCACAGGCAGTTTTGACAAATTTGTTACTTAAAATTCCACTTGTGTTATTTTTCTTTTCTTTACTTGAAAAATGCTACAAAACACAAAAACAAAGTAAATAACTCAAAAACATAAAGAACTAACTAAGAAAAGACAAGTGAATTTGATATAAAATATATATAAATATGAGCTTATCAATGAAACATGTTTTTCATATAAAGAATCCACTTCTACTGTGTCCCTCTCATTACCTATTCCCTCAACCAATATGATATTAGATACCCCCCCCCCCCAAATACCGTCCACAATCCTCTAATCTTTCCCCACCACACCTTCCTGCTATCCATCTTACCCATCCCACCAACTCCCCACCTCTCCCCCTAACCCTACTTCCCCACCTCTACCCGTCACTGCCTCATCTACCCCTTCATTAGTCTCCCATATCTCTCCTACTAACCTACCAACTATTCCCTTAAGACCCACGAATGTAAGTCACGTCCCTTTTCGATCCTCTTCATCTCAAAGGACTCTTCAACCTACTCACCCTATGACAACACGTGCTAAGGACGGGATTCATAAACCAAATCCCAAATATGCATTGCTTTCTACTGTTACTAATATTGTGGTTGAGCCTACTTGTTTTACACAGGCTAATAAATATCTTGAATGGCCCCAGGCAATGGCAAAAGAGTTTAATGCTCTCTTACAAACTGGCACATGGTCTTTGGTTCAATTTCTTTCTTTCATGAATGTTCTTCCCAATAAATGGGTCTATCGAATCAAACGGCACTCTGATGGTTCCATACAGCGATATAAAGCTAGACTCCTCGCAAATGGATTTCACCAACAAGATGGTATCGATTATAGCGAGACATTCAGTCCGGTGGTCACTTATGCAACAATTAGACTTATTCTCTCCATTGCCCTTCACTACAATTGGCCTATCAGACAACTTGATGTTTAAAATGCCTTCTTACATGGTTCTTTAGCTGAAGTCGTTTATATACGACAACCTTCAGGTTTTGTGGACCCTTAATTTCCATCACATGTATGTCGACTGCACAAGTCCCTATATGGTTTGAAACAAGCACCCTGTGCCTGGTTTCAATGTTTCTCCCAACACCTTGAAGACGTAGGGTTTCATGCCTCCCAAGCAGATTCTTCATTGTTCACATTCTTTAATGGATCTACTATTATCTATTTATTGATAAATGTCGATGACATCCTTGTTACTGGTAACAATCCATCATAAACATCTCGGCTTATTCATCAACTTGGTCAAAAATTTTCTATGAAGGATCTCAGACCTACACATTATTTTTTAGGCATGGAAATTACACGAACACCAACTGCCATGTATCTTTCCCAATCTAAGTACATCATTGACCTTCTCAAAAAGACCAATATGACTGATGCAAAGCCTCTCACCACTCCTGCTGCAGTTGGCCGCAAGTTAAGTCTCTATGAAGTGAACCTTTGTCAGATGGCACTCATTTTCGAAGCATAGTTAGTGCTCTCCAATACCTTCTTTTCACGAGGCCTGATATTGCTTTCGCCGTTAATCAGGTTTGCCAATATATGCATTCACCCACCACTGCTCATTGGGCTGCTGTTAAAAGCATCCTTCACTACTTGAAGGCCACTCATGCTCACGACATTGTTTATACACCTAGTTCTCTCACCTTCACTGCCTTTGTCGATGCGGATTATGCTGGCGATCCAGATGATCGACGCTCCACTAGGGGCTATTGCATTTTCCTTGGAAATAATCTCATCTCTTGGAGCTCTAAGAAACAACGAGGGGTGTCTCGCTCAAGCACTGAGGTCGAGTACAGACAACTCGCCTATACGGCAGCCACTTTATCTTGGTTTCGTCATCTCTTTCGTGACTTACACCTTTTTATTTCTCCACCGAAGTTATGGTGCGACAATATTAGTGCACCTGCAGTAGCTTCTAATCCTGTTTATTAGGCAAGGATGAGATACGTTGAAGTTGACTACCACTACGTCCACGAAAAGGTAGTGCGCAAAGAAATACAGGTTCGCTATGTCACCACTGCTGATCAAATTGTTGACCTTCTCACAAAAGGCTTGTCTACTGCTCATTTCAATTATCCGCTTTCCAAGCTTCCCGTGCGTCTCCACCCATTTAGCTTGCGAGAGTGTGATAAACCTATTATCCCTACACGTACTCCAGGTCAGCAAACCTCCAAGTCAGCCATCCACATCTCTGCAGTTCGAATCATCTCAGTCACTCTCATCAAGTCAACCTCGCAGTTTGGATAACTCAAGGACTCTTCATCAGATAGACTCTTCTATCTCTTCTTAGACTCTATTAGTTTGTATTTTGAATTTACTTGTAATCTGATATATGTTTACACTATAACCAACTTATCTTGTAATCTCTATATAATGAAGTCGAAACCTCACTCATAATTAACTGAGTTGAGCTTATGCAATCAGTCTCCAAAACCCTAGTTTAAACTCTTTCACCAAGTACATGGAAACTTTAAAAAAAAAAAAATGCAAGTGTTTTTTTTTCTTAAAGCACTTCAGCTACTTCAAGTGCTTCTTTCTAAAAGTATTTCAAGTAGTTTCTCTTATTTTATTATAAAAACTCACAAAATTAGTGTCAATTTTTTGCTAACATTGTTAAAAGCTCTTTTGGTGATCTTGAACACTTTTAGTTATTTTAAAAGCACGGTCAAACATGCCTAGTGTTGCGAAGTCTAGCTCTAAATTAAGAATAGAGAAGTGGTCTTTATCTCAAAATTTAAAACGCATATTTGACCTAGCAAAATGACATTATATCGCTAAAACGCTCATATGTCATAGAGAAGCATTAATTGTTGCTCATCTCCCCTTGTATTAGGGGCACAAATTGGACACAGGGGACCCCAACCTGAAAGTCTCAAACTGTATTCGAATTGCTCCATAATTTGGTCCGTTAATTAAAATGTCATGCATCTGTATTTTTCATATGAATTAAATTCCACGTTCTAAGTTATATTCATGCTAAAATGATTTTTGTTGGAAGATTGGACATTAGTCATTTTTTTCCCCCACTGAGTTATATATCTAACCCATCATACTGGCAATGTCCAATAAAATGCCGTATTTACGCAGCAATAGTTATCGACCGTAATTTAGATTGCCCCTTGAGATGGGCAAGAGGTATAGTGGTTCCATGGTACCATCGCCACCATCACTACCACCGCCCCACCACCACTGCAACCACCACACCACGCCACAACTATAACCCAGTTCAGCTGCAGAAAGAAGAAGTCTACGATCTTACGAAAAGAAAAGAAAATATATAGTGATGCTGCAGTTCAATTGATCTTGGAGAAAATAGACTACGGTTCTGTTGTAGGTTTTGCATTCACAACACAACCTTGCAGACCAACAAAATTGTGACCAAAATTGAACAAGAGATACCAAATCTGAAAAATAAAACCTGCCGCCTACAGCCGCACAGCTTCAGATCAATGTTAAATTATTGGCAAGGCAAGCCGGATACGGTGGTAGGGGAAGCCGGATATATCATGCGTGCGAAGGGGACAAAAAATTAACGGCAATGACATTTCACAGTATGTACACATATTTTTCTCTTGAAAAGATTGCATTGCAGCTCGATGAACTCTTCGTTGCCATAAAAGAAACTAATGTTAATCTACAACAAAAACAAGCAAATTGTATCTGTTTCAAAGTAAATTATGAAAGAACAAAAGTTACCCTCCATACGCCATTTCATCTGTGCCTAGGAATGCAGAAACTTAAGTGCATTCCCTTGGTTTCTCATTCACTATGCTAACAGACAGTGGCGGATTCAGGATTTCAAGATCGGGGGATCCCAAGATAAAAGTTCAAAAAATATATATTAGACTAATTTGGTTCCATAACACTTTTTTTTTAAATTGAATTTCGTTCATTGAATAATCAAAATTAATCAACCACATCAAGTGGCCCAGTAGTAAGGGTGCGGATTTTAGCTCTTAAAATACAAAAAACAGGGAGGTTCCGGGTTCAAAGCTCCAAGCTAGTGAGTCTGCTTGACTGTGGCCATGAGAAAGCTGAAATGCCTTTGTGAGTTTTCTAGGCTCTTAGAAGGGGTGGATAACTGTGGCTTACCACTAGTTTTCCCACTTTAAAAATAATAATAATAATAATAATCAAGATTAATCTCAAAGGTAATAAAACCAACAAATTCTCCTCAGCAACATAACACATCAATTAATGACTTTACAAAGATGAAATTTGTTAATGTAACATATATATTACAATTGGGAGTTGAGACTAGAGTCTAGGATTAATAAACTTAAATGAATTTGGAAGAAATAAAATTAGGCAGCTAGAGGTGGTGGAACGGCAAATGGTGCTGGGGGATGGGATAACTTGAGTTTAAAGTTGGGAGGTTGCGACGATTTGGAGGATTAAAACAAAAATTAGAAACCTCTTCTTCTTCTTTGTAAGCACTGCTGTATGCACATCCATGGAGGCAACAAGCCTCTCCGCTGCACCTGCTCAAATTGTTGGAAGGTCCCGAAGGTCGATCACAAGTGTTTTTTCGGGCTTCCGGAGGATCTCGGAACCTCCCGGTTCCCTATATGGATCCGTCCATGCTAACAAAGGATGAGGTTACCATAGCTACTTCCATTTTTCAGTTTTTGGTAGCTCTGGTCTGGTCTGCGAACAAAACTTCTTTTCGAATTTTCTCTCTTTACAAGCTCTAGATCCAGTTTCTCCAAAGGTGAGATATGTGACATGCAACTTGACCATTTATTAGAGTCTTTCTGTCAAGCTATTAAGAATAAAGAGTAGATTGCAGTAAAATGCGAACAAACAACACTGAAAAACATTAGAAACTAGTTGATCGAATCTTATATGCTAATTCAAACACACAAATATTCGAAGAAAATATCATAAAACTTACTGAATCTTACATGACTTCACCTTGGGGTCTTTGAATGCTTCTATTGTTCTCTGCTTGATTCGCTCACAAGTCTCTGCATTATATGAAAGATCAAAACTTCAGATTCAGCCAAATGTATGAAAGTTTAAAATACAACCAACATTTGGACACAGTTTTACCTGAACTATGTTTCGTGCCTTTGTTCCATGTTATCCTCCCTTCGTTGGCTTGTCATTTTTTTTTCCGTCTCTGTCTCTCCTTTTCTTCTTGCTAAGAAACAATTAGTTGAGAAAATGAGAGAAATAGGCGTAATGACAGACCTCGTAACTTTGACAGATCAAGGAATATTGAAAGGAGAGAAAATATGCAGAATTGTGATTTTCAGAAAACCGGTCCATCTCCTGTGCCTAATCAAGCTGGGCCAAATTCGGGACCTGAACCTGCCAGCATGGGTCCTACACCCCCGAACAGGGCTCCAATGCCGCCTCCCAACATGGGTCCATCAAACAACTACAATAATCCCTCGCCAAGCAACTGCAATTCTGGGCCACCTCCCGGCAACTACAATCAGATGCGTCCTAATGACCCGGGAGGGGTGCCACTAAACTGTTGAAATATAAATGTGTTGACTGGTTTATGTTTAAATTTCAACTGTAATGTTGTTATTGGAGAGTGTTAGTTACATGGCTCATAAGCATGAGATAGGTATTTAGCTCATAGGCTAGATGAAATCGAGGGCTGAGAATCTGAGATTAACTAAGAATTGTTTTGGCTCTCTCTCCTTTAACGGTTAGTTTTTGTATGGTTGTGTGAGCTCACAAGCTTTAGTGTGAATGAATGGCATCAGCAGAGTAACATTCTCTGTGTGAACAATTTTCAAGAATGTGTTCTTTCATTTCTGATTTTGTTTGCTCCGTTTAATCCGAAACTGAAAAGAGCTTGATAGCTCATCACTAATTTAATGTCTTTGGATTATGAGAAATCAGAATTGGAAATGGAATTTTAGAATATATATGTCTGTGTTTATAGTGTATTTGTATCTTTAATTCATTTTCAATTTATATCTGTATTTGTTTTTTCAAAGTTGTTGCTTTTTAATTTTCTCTTTTTCGCTCTTGATTACGGTAGTATTTTGGGTTAAGTTGATTTGTATTGCACCAGGAAACTTTTGTTTGAGAAAATACAAGAGGTTGTTTCTCTTGGGGGAGGGTTGTATGCACATGCTACTTTCTGGCATTTATCTTGTTGTAGGATATTAGTTTATTTGTGTTATACGCCGACTCGATTATGGTGTATAATATATGAACATTTTCTTAATACCGTTAATGGCCTTCTGTTGTATGCAGCTGTAAAAGTTAATGGCTTTCTGTTGTAAGATAGGAAATGATTTTGTAATTGCAATTGGCCTTTTATATCATTTTTGTAGGGTTTTTGACTTGATTTTTTTATATCACATAAATGTGTGTGTTGCGCTAAATTTCTTTTGTTTCTGTATATTTCCGCCGAAATTTGGGGGTGCAATTCTTAATGTTGGGTTATATGTTTTGAAGTTCTAACAAAAGCAAAACTCATTAACTTTTTTGTAGGCTTTTGATATTCAAAATCTAAACTATAAACCCACTTTGTGGCAGGGTCTTAATGATCTCTTAAATAGTATGGTCTTAATCATGTTTCTTATAGCATGGTCTTGATCACTTTTTTTTTTTACAGACTAAAGTTTTTGTAAGATTAATGGCTTTCACATTTCAAAAAGCACATAGGATTGTACTGTATTCCTATTGTTTGTGTTTCCTGTGATTTATATTTTGTAATGAAGATTTATACAACCAAGTTTACATTGCTTGTATGCGTTCGGCTGAACTGCAGTGAGGAAGAAGCAAGAATGAAGATCTACTCAGTTTCAACTAGGTGCTATTATGCGTTTGGGGCGCTTGTATCCGAAGAGGTTTCACTCAAAATCAAAGGTGATTCTGCCTCTAAGTTGGGATTTTATTATTTTCTTGTGTCTGAGTTCTCATGTATATATGTGTGTGTGTATTTGTAAAATTCTTGCAGAGTTGCCTGGAGTCCGTTGGGTACTTCCCGATTCCTACTTGGATGTTAAGAACAAAGATTATGGAGGTACGGATATGCTTGTTTATTCAAGTTGAATTTCAAAGAAAACAAATTATTTATAGCAATTGATTCATTTAAGTCATAAGTTCCATTCCGTAATTGCTCTGGCAGTCTGATGATATTTTGATTTTAGATTTATTTCTTTATTTTTTCTGACAAAGGATAGTTTGAGGCTCTAGAATGTTACAGATGTGAAAGTTATTAGGCAGTTGATGTTGTAGCAGTGCTAGTGGTGTGTAGAACCGGTGAAATATAAAGACCCCTGTTGAAGGCTTTCTGCAACCCTAGTCATTTTGTACAGAGTTTTTGTGTAAAATATTATAATTTTGAACTAACTAGTTTCGCGTGTTGATTACATCCGAAAAAAATGATCCACGGTAATTTTCATTTCAAAATTTCTGTACTCCCAAGAATTGTGGTCTGGGTACCGAGTGTTATAGTAATACTAAACAGTGTGTGTTTTTTTCTATGTTGTATAGCTTTTTCTATGTTGTTTTCAACTAAGTTAACCAGGAAAATTCTTTTATCCACGATTTGTTTGCTTTCTTGTTTGTTTTGGCAGGTAAACCTTTTATTAATGGCCAAGCAGTGCCATATGATCCCAAGTACCATGAGGAATGGATAAGAAACAATAGTCGAGCAAATGAGAGAAACAGGCGTAATGACAGACCTCGTAACTTTGACAGATCAAGGAACTTTGAAAGGAGAAGGGAAAATATGCAGAATCGTGATTTTCAGAATACGGGCCCATCTCCTATGCCTAATCAAGCTGGGCCAAATTCGGGACCTGGACCTGCCAACATGGGTCCTCCACCCCCCAACAGGGGTCCAATGTCTCCCAACATGGGTCCTCCACCCCCCAACAGGGCTCCAATGCCACCTCCCAACATGGGTCAACCAAACAACTACAATAATCCCCAGCCAAGCAACAACTGGAATTCTGGGCCACTAAACAGCTACAATCAGGCGCCTCCCAACAGCTACAATCAGATGCCGCCCAACAACTACAATCAGATGCCTCTCAATAACCCGGGAGGGGTGCCACCAAACAACATGGCTCCGCCTTCTAATGCAGGATGGAATGACCCTGGACAATACCAGAATAACTACACGCCAGACAGGGATGCTGGAGTCAATCCTGACGAGGAGGTTGCTCGAGATGGGCTGTAGGTTTCAATGTTTCTGGTCTTGAATGATATTTCGTTTGGCATGTTGCTGTGGTCGGATCATGGTTGCCTTTCATCCGAATATGATTACACTTTCAAGGTCATATCTTATGCGATTAGTTGTGTCTTTACTTTGGTGCGCGACATGAGTTCTTTCAGGTAGTGCATATATTGACAGAAAGCATACTGCATTGGGGATACTTGTTAAATGGAACATTTTAATTTGCAGTACTCTCTGAAGATTATGTGTTGCTATTCGTTCGTAGATTGTTTTTGCATATTTTGGGGGTGATGTTATTTTGCTAGAAAAATGACATGTTACATTGTCAATTTCGTAACCCGATTCTCAGTTTGGCCCCTAAATCAAAATTTTGACTTCTTTTGGCTATGTTTGGGGTGAGGGATTTCCAAGTCTCAAGGAATTGAGACCAAGTTAGAGGGGATTGGAAATGTGGGAGGGATATGGGAGGGATTTTTAAATTACGATTTACGAGTCATTTACAAATCAGTAACTTCGACATCGTAGGGACGTTTATTATAAAATAAAATACATGACAGAGTATTCGAAACCCCCAAATGTAACCGAGAAAAAACAAGGAACTCTATTTAGCTAAGCCATGGTTTCATCCTATTCATGCGCACTGCTAACATGACATAGAGCCTATCCTGTACATTGTCTATGAACTGAAAGTACGCATACCTCCATGTCTTCTTTACGATCAAAGAACCACATACTCCCCATAATCCAAAAATAAACCCGAACACAGCCGAAATATAGAACCACGGAAGTTGATGCCCATCGTCCTCATCATCGTGGTTATTCTTACCATGCGCATCAGTGCGACACTCGTTTGGAAGTGGGGCACCGCAAAGTTTTGGATTCCCCTCAAATGCAGAAGCTTCAAAGCTTTGGAGCTGAGTGCTTGTTGGGATTGGACCTTCGAGATTATTGTAAGAGACATCAAAGCTCTTCAAGAAATTAAGGCTCACTAGAGACGATGGAATTTTTCCGGACAAGTGATTCTTGGAGAGACTCAAAGCTTGTAACTTCATAAGGTTAGACATTTGGTCTGGAATGTTACCGGAGAAGTTGTTGTTGTCTAGATGCAACTCTTGGAGAAGCTGCAGTTGGCCGATCTCAGACGGTATATTACCGGTAATGTTGTTGGAAGAAAGTTCTATCGATGAAGGAACGCTGGACAATATGTGGCGTAATCCATAGGTGATTAGTACCCCTCTCGAGTTCTTAATGTAGAGTGGCAATTCGACATCATATTGGTCTGCTTGAGCTGCAATAAGTTCATGTACCAACGCCGGTAGTCTACAAAGTTCTTTCGGAAATTCACCTGAAATAAGGTTCATTGACAAGCCTATATTAAAAAGTCTTGGTAGATCAGTCCCCAACCAGCTAGGAATTGTCCCTGTGATTTTGTTGCCATCCAGAGCCAAGATCTCTAGGCTCTTTAGCTTTGCTAACCATACAGGTATTCGACCTGTGAGATCACAATGCGCCAAGCTCAAAAATTGAAGATTTCGAAATCCATCAAAACTAACCATTTCATCATCAGATGGCATTTCTTCACCATTAAAGGAATGTGTAAGGAGGAGTATTTGAAGACTTTTGCAATGCATCAATATCTTCATTGCTCCTGTGACATTTTCCAATCGGAGGCTACCAAGAGAGAGGAAGGACAGAGAGTTTAGCGAAAGAATCTCAGGTTGTATTTGTCCCTCTAGATTGTTCAAAGCTAATCGAATTGCTTTTAGGGATCTACATGAGTAAAGGCTTGTTGGCAACTTACCAGTGAAGTTGTTCATGTACAGGTCAAGTTTAGTAAGTTGAACAAGTTTGGAGAAATTAAGCTTGGTAATGTCTCCTTCCAAGTTATTTTTTGCCAAACGTAGTTCTACAAGGCTGCTGCAATTCATCAAAGATTGGGGCAACGAACCTTGTAGGTCGTTGAAATCGAGCTTTATGATTTTTAACCTGGAGAGCTTCCCCAAACGGAGAGGGAGTACTCCGCTCAGTTGATTGAAGGAGAGATCAAGGATTACGAGGTTGTTGAGGTTGACAATTCTCTCACTAATGCCTCCATATAGTGAATTCAGAGGTACTGCAATTTCTTCGAGTTTGGTAGCATTATAGATATCTTCTGGAAGTAGCCCTGAGAGATTATTGTGACCAGCACGGAAGATCTGCAGCTCGGAACACCTCCCAAAACCACGTAAAATGTTGCCATTAAATTGGTTTGAGGAAAAATCCAACACTCTAATCAAGGGGTTAGAATGGAGACATATAGAGGATGGGATGTAGCTGGAGAAGGCATTGTTGCTGACGTTGAAACTTGTCAAATTCCAAGCATGCATGAAGAACGAAGACGGAATTGGACCATGGAAGCGATTGCTTGACAAATCGAGTGTCCGGATGTTTCTAGATGTT